TAAATAGTCTTATAATGGCAAGAACGAACAAAGCAAAAGAAAAAGCAAATAAATAATATCAGAAAGTTATTGATAAGCACCGTGGCAAAGAAGCCTTAACTGTCAGGATGGACGAAACCAAACGAAAGAGAACAACAGGTCCGCCATATTTTTTAAAGTCAAACTGCCCAAAGACACTATTAAACCTTCCTTCAAAGACCCCAAGGGCAGACTCTTAATTCCGTTATGGTTTGCACCTAAAACACAAATATCAAAGCGACAAATTTCGTTGAAAATCTAGTGAATAGAAAAAAATTTCAGGTAGGAGACACGGACAGGTTTATATTTAAAAGGGTTATGAACACATTAAAACAAGATGAATCATTTAAAGACGTGCTAGACTTTGACGAGAATTATATCGTTGCTATCCAACTTAAAAGCGTTGGTAGGGTAGATGGCGACACTGACTTCAACCCAGAAGCGGAAAATCTAACAAACGCAGATAATATCGCAATGTATCATCATTATATGACCACCCCCTAAAACGCAGAATACGAAATATTTAAGGAAGCGATAAAAAGTAAATCATCACATTAAAAATGAATGCTGGATAAACACCACAACGGACTATTATAAAGACAGCCGTATGAGCGAGAAGAAAAGAGAAAAGAACAAACTCACTAGAGAGAAAATTTTAGATATAATAAATGTGACGGATGAAGACTTTAAAACACAAGGGGCGCCCAACGCTATACGCAATTGTGAAGAACAACCATATTTATACAGTGAATGATAATCGTAATTCGCTAGAACATACAACGCAAAAAGGACGATATAACAATAAATGACTCGAGCAACTACTGCTTAAACAAAAGAGAAGAACCGACAGAATGCCATATGATTACAACTTTAAATGATATTCAGACCTTTACCAAAAAACAATAATATAATTTAATTTAATTTAGAAAAATTACTTCACGAAAGCAAGCAAGCAGGATACAACCCCAAGTTGCATTCAATGCCGGAACTATATCCGAACTCAATTTCAAAATTCTTATAAATATTTATTGTTCACTACAAAATTTGCCCACAACTTCTTGAAGGAGCAACATCTTCATGATGTAAAAAGGTTTCAAGAAAAGAACATCAACGAAGCAATGCAGACCCTTTGAAATGCAGGACACGTGATATTTGAGATCAAACGAAACAAACTGTTGGAAAGCAATAAACGAATCAACAGGAAATAAACCGATTAATGAATGAGTTGTATCGTCCGAATTTACCGCATTCAAGGAAAGAAGAACCTTCAAAATCTGGATAGTCTGCTAGAACTCTCGTTTCTGCTGTTATATGATTAATATTATCTCGTAAATCTTCAACTTCATAACTTTTACTTTCAGAAATGGGTTATACACACCTCTAACATTAAATATCATCTTTATTTGCTTTCTTTTCCTTTTGGGGAGTTTTTATATGAATTTAATTTTATCTTTAACAATTTGTTGAGGTGGTTTAACAATTGCTTTTTTTGTTTAATGGATTTTTTAAACCTCCTGTAAGTACACTGCTTCGCTTTCCTGTAGAACAGTATTTCTCGGTTGTAACGGGATTACGCTTGCTTTCCTTTTGGTTTTGGTTTTATGTTTTGGGTTTTGCCAAGTTTGAGCATTTGTGAAAGTATCTTAAAGTCTTTAGCGTTGAATTTGCTCCACAGTCATTACAATTGACGTTCTTGTTTTTCATCCTATCTGTTTTGTTTTTGAACTCTTTTTCGGGTTCCTTGGGTGCTTCTTCTTGAATATCAACCGCCTTAATGTTTGGTTTATCTACTGCTCCAATTCTTCATTTGAAAAATCGGCATTTGCTTCATTCTGAACTTCAGTTTCTGTTGTCATATATATTATTCTATATTAATTCATTCTTAATCAAAATGGAAAAAACATAGATACTTATATTTTTATTATGGTCATTTTATTCAATTCATAAATTTACGAAGAGGAAACTAAAACTTATAGGGATATTTTGAAAGTTCATTGTTTTGCCCCTTTGCGGCGGTAGTCCTAAATCATGATCGTTTAAAATCTCGGTCTATAACATATTGAGCGGTTTTAGGTAATCCGAAGTCTAACGTTGGAGGCATCACATCGCTTGCTTATATAAATTAAAATAGATTTTAATATTTTTTAAAACTTCTTTTTATTGGTTTTATCTGGCATTAAAGTTTATTTGTTTTTAATAACACCTTTTTTTTATAATAATGTCGCGAATGCTCACGAGGCTCTGTCGAGCGTTTTGCTTTTCTTCTAACATGTCTTTAATCATATTATAATGTTTTTTATTAATATCCTTCTGTGTTATGGTATGTAACC